CAATTGGACCGCCATTTGCAGCTCGTAATTGAATATTGGATGGAATCAGCTGGGGGCAGTTCAATTTGCGCCAAACAGCTTCATCGATGATGGTGACGGCTGCACCAGTATCCAATTGCAAAGTGAAGCGAACGCCTTCGATTGAGATCTCGACGTCTTTCCGACTCGAGTCTACGGCATTGATATGGACAACCATGTTCACCTTCGACTTCCAGTCTTTGGCTTGGTGATTTTTCGACTTTGAAAAATTAGCACCGCGAATATTGCCAGGGTCTGCGCGACACTCTCTTGCCCAGTGTCCGCTCTTTCCACAACGATTACAGTTGTCATTCCGCTTGTCTCGCGGGGACCGATCATTGGTTTCCGGTCGCGACGAGTAACCCTTGCTAGAGGTTGGCTCTCGCTCGCGTTTCCAATTCTTTCGGAAACCCGATTGCTGGTGAACCCGGTTCACGTTGGCATTTTGCATATTCTGCTCAACGACCATATCCATATTCAGGGAACTTTGCATATCGCATTCGCGTAGCAAATCGCTCAACTTGACACCATTCTTTGACTCCAGAATGTGCAACAGTCTCTTGCGGATCTCTCGATTTTCCTGATCGGAAAGTCCAGCAACGAACAACAGACATTTCGTCTCGTCCTCGTTCATCTCCTTGACACGACCAAGCTCGTACAGCTTGTTGACGCGTGCTGCGTAGGAGTGCATATCCTCGTCGGCTGCTTTGGCCACACGGAATGCCAGAAAACGTCGACTGAACTGCGACATTTTCTCACCGAACATGTCTGTCAGCGACTTGATCATGTCGGGATATTTCACGGCAGACAATTCCGTTGGTCTTTCGTGATCCGCTAGGAGGCTATAGGCTTTGCCATCCAGCATACTGAGAACAAGGTGTTTCTTGTTATCCTCAGTGATGCGCGGTTCCGTGGACACGAGGTTATCAAACCTCTCGAGCCACTTTTCGAACGTAAGACCCTGGGATGGGTCATAGTCGAACCGAACGAGTCGTGAGCAAAGGGCGCTCAGCTCGACCGCATCCAGAGGCCTGGGATGGCTTGGACCTGCGGATTTACCCAGAGGGTCTTCGCTAACTGTGCCCATGTGCGTTTGGGTCTCAGCGCGGTAGGCCTCGAGCTGTGCCTCCATCTTCTTCTCACGCTCCTGTCCAGCAGCCATCATCGCCGTCATCTGCTGCATCAGAGCCATGATCTCGGGGTCGGCCATGTCTTCGAATCCTTGCTCGCCAGTTGTTGTAGTTGTGGGTGAGGTAGACGAAACGTTTATTCCAGGTAGAGGGCAGACCAAGCGGTGGGGGAAAGATACAGAACAATGAGGGGGAGCATCGACAAATGGGGGACAATAGAACCGGAAATGTAGCGTATGCTAATTAGGTATTCGGATCTGGGATGTAGTCCTCCAACAGGTTTTTTTAATATTAAAAATTTACGAAATTTCTCCATACAAAATTTCATTCCTCTCTAACTTTTCAACCAGACCCTCAAAAATTCTTAAATTTTTTAGGTACATATCTGCTGCTTATATTAACTTACTTAATCAAAATTAGATGCCAGCCACCACAGGAAAGTGAGAAAATTACAAATGAAGTTTCCCCGAACGCACAGTTTTCGGGTGTCATTTGTATTGATACGTCGCCAAAAATCGAAAAAATCAAGTTGTGTTAAATCTTCATGCCCAGCATATTTAAGCATTCTGGCATGGTAACGTACCTTCGATTCTCTACCGTTCGCGAGTTATTTCGACCCAAACTGTGGCCTTTTTTTTTTGCACACCCTGTATTCAATGTTCGTTTATTCTTGTATTTGGCCAGAGGCCAAGCCGGGCACTTCGCGGAATTCTGTAAAAAATGTTAAAATTTAGCTTTCCGAACGGACAACACGCTGGCCACCATTGTGTCAAGTTAGTTTCCGGTACTATTCAAGTTGGGGAGGGGGGACAAAATTTTTTTTGGGTCATTTGTGGGCTAATTGATCAGTTTTTCTCTGGCTTAGGCTTAGCTTAGCTTAGTATTGGCTTGACTTAGGCTTTAGCTTAGGCTTAGGCTTAACTTAGGCTAGGCTTAGACCTAGCTTAACCTAAGCTTAGGCTTAGGCTTAGCCGAAGCCTTAGCACCTTGTCCTTAGGTTGGCTTCGTCACAGCTTCACTGCTTTTGGCTTCAACTTAGCTTTGTTCAAGCTCAATTTAACTGTGCTTCGGTTTAGCTTAGCTTAGGAGTTGACTATTGCGCTGAATTAGCCGCGAAAAACGGATCAAGTAGCCCAAAAATGACCTAAAAAAATTTTGCCCCCCCCCCAACTTGAATAGTACCTAGTTTCCTTTTTCTGATCGGGGCAATTTTGTTGCTGTGTCTTTCCATCGATTTTTAGGAGTGCGATGAAACGGAGCAAAATTACAGAAGTCAATCTAAGCACTCACCTAGAATTTCGAGCCGACCGGATGGTGGAGCGGGTTTTTGCGTGGGAGAGGGCGCGAAGAGACCATTTTCGCCGGTGTGACAAATCAGCTACACTTCTTGATGCTCATCGAGGTCAGCCGCATTCTCAACGAATTTTTTTGGCGGGCGGGGGGTACTGCGATGAAAAACGTCCAGCTGCTCACACCCAAAATTAGCGGCAATAAAGCAAAAGTCAATCTAACTGTAAAGCAACGCGGAAAAACTATCGACTCAACAACTTCTAAGCCTAATGACCTTAAACCTAAAGCGAATCTTAAAAAAGGCGGGTGCTTTTCAAATAGGCGGGGGGGAAAGATTTAGGCGGGGGGGGAAACCAAACTTTTTCCGCCCAAGCCTATATTTTTTTATATAAATAGTGGAAGTGTTTCTAAATTGTTTATAGCTGTTCCTAAACATAAAAACTTTACAAAACTTAATTAAAAAATTTAATTTTAGGTCGAAAAATCAATTTTTTCGGTCCAAAAATGACCAAATTTTCGACTTTGTCAGGCGTTTTTCTTTTTCTAATTTTTTAAAAAGTTTTTCCGATTCAAGTAGGCTTAAATTTTGCTAAAAACAATGTGAAAACACTTTATATTTGATTACTATCCCCACCAGGGCCGACAAAAAAAAGTTGGTCCCCCCCCCGCCTATTTGAAAAGCACCAAAAGGCGATTTTTCACTTGGTGGACGGAACACGGCGATTCTATTGATAACAAACTAAGATTTCCAGCAATTTATCCTGCATCAAAATGATGATGATGATGATGATGGGAGAAGAATGATCGAAATTAACTCGAGACTCTGCTTTTTACCCGACGAAAATTACAAAGCACTCGCCGATGAATTTTGGGTAGGATGTTGTAAATTGTTTTTATCGGGATACGGATCTTTCGCCTTATCGGGGGGGCGGAGAAGATATTTGCCTAATTGTTTCTACGGTTTTTAAGTGTTTCTAGGGGGAAGTTCTAAACTGTTTTTACTATTCTTAGGCGTACAAACTTCACAAATTTTTATTAAAACATACAAAAAAGTAGATTTTTCGACCGGAAATGTCCGTTTTTGACCAAACTTTCGTTTTTTTGAACAAATTTCGAAGTTTTTAGATAGTTTTTCCAGTAAAAATATAGTTTTATTTTACTAAAAACATTATACAAATACTTCCTATTAAGTTACCAGGGACTTCTAGATAAACACAAAAAAAATTGTGCCCCCCCCCCCGATAATGCGAAAGAACCCGAGATACATCGAATACATCAGATACGTCGTCGATATACATAGAGTAGAGTAGCTGGCCGTTGTCTTGCAGAATTTAATCGGTGAGGGGCTGAAGAAAAACGTCGGCCTGACGATGGTCGAGTTGACAGATGGCAAAAACGAGACCGGGATGGTCAAAGAATGGATGAGTCAGCGACGACCGGTCACCACAAAACGAATTCGGTTTATTAATGGTGCTTTCAGATGTACGCGGGCTACAAGATGCGTCGCTACTTCCAATTTAGAGCCTGCGAAAAACGTAGGTGGCCATCGATACCTGAGGCTAACAAATGAAAACAAACGAATAGCGATGAAAATTGCGCAAAGGGCGGTGGTCGTAGGTACTGGACTGTTAGCGGGGGGGGGGGGGGGGGCTTAGCGGCAGTAACCTAATTTTCCCGTAATCCCGTACGGCCCTATATCAAATTAAACCATTCAGCATTCGGTTTCTAGTAATGAAAAGCCCAAAAATTCGCAAAATTTTCGACATTTTTTTTTCGTCAAATTTTTCGAAACTTCACAAATTTTAAAATATTTCTTATACGTTCTAGCAATCAAAACCCTCTAAACACCCTATAAAATAGGGGTTTTTGTGTCGAATTCAGTCGAAAGTTGCGTAGGGTGATTTTCAGCTTTGTTGGGTGCGTACATCTACAATGGAGAGGCAATGCAAGCACCCTATGGACTCATCTCATTCTGTTTCTTCAACACCAAATATTCAACACGATCGCCATGCCGACTCCCCATTCTGGTCGACAGTCAACATGTTCATTTTGAATAGTAAAAGCGGTGCTTTTCTAATAGGCGGGGGGGGGGAAGATTTAGGCGGGGGGAAACCAACTTTTTTTGTCGGCCCTGGTGGGGATAGTAATCAAATATAAAGTGTTTTCACATTGTTTTTAGCAAGATTTAAGCCTATTTGAATCGGAAAAACTTTTTAAAAAGTTAGAAAAACGCTTGAAAAAGTCGAAAATTTGGTCATTTTTGGGCCGGAAAAATTAATTTTTCGAACTAAAATTAAATTTTTTAATTAAGTTTTGTAAAGTTTTTATGCTTAGGAATAGCTATAAACAATTTAGAAACACTTCCACTATTTATATAAAAAATATAGGCTTGGGCGGAAAAAAGTTCGGTTTCCCCCCGCCTATTTGAAAAGCACCGTAAAAACCTCTTCCTTTGTAAACCGGCAAACCGATAATCATCTTTATTTACACGATTGCTGCGGCGAATTTGTGCGGATGGGATTTCTGTTTGTGACGCTTCGAAGGCTTCGGATTCGCGCTTCAGATCTTGCTCTTGGCCTTCCCAGTTCGTCCGCGGATCGTGTCCTCGATCTGGAAAAGGATTTATTTCGTCGAAATAGCGAAATTCGCACATTTCCGCAAAGTTTTCTGCTAGCCTGCCCAGAATTTTTGCGTAAAAAACTCACCTGTCCCCAGGCGTCGTTGGTCATCTGATGCAGTTCACGAGCGCCAATCGAGCTGCCGTGGTTGAACCATTGCTGCCCACCGTCGAAATCGATTATCTAAACAAAACGGGTGTATTCACGAATTATTTTGTTTCTACAGTACTGGACTGTTAGCGGGGGGATTTTCCAAGTAGCTAACGAAATATAAACCTTTTCATAGAACTTTACACAGTTTTTAGGCATAGAATTCGTGTAGAAATCGCAACTTTTTTCCGAAAATGTTTGACTTTTTGGTAAAAAAAATGAATGAAAAATGGCCAAAACGGTCAAAATTTAATTTCTAAAAGTTTTTTTCGTAGCTACAAGCAAAAACTACTAAAAATACTACAAAACAAACTAAATCTTTTGAAGGAAAGATCAAATCGGTTTCCTCCGCCAACAGTCCAGCACCATTTTTACTCACCGCTCCATTGAGCCAGCTGGAATAGTCGGAACAGACGAACGAGGCCAGATTCGCCAATTCCTCCGGGGTGCCGCACCTAAAAAAGGTAGACGAAAATTGAGGAAGCCGTACCGGCCAGCTGGTACAGTCTGCCCGGCCATCGCCGCCGCATCCTCCAGTTTTCCCGGCATCAGACGCCCGAAAGCTCCCTAAAAGTCAAAACTCAAAAAAGGTCATTTTTAGAAGCTATTAGCGTTTTGTTTTGCAATTTGATATAGCCAATTCGATGGAGCTTCGAGTTCTGGACAAATGCCGTCGGTACTGGACTGTTAGCGGGGAGGGGGGCTTTTAGCAAGGGGTAGGGAAACTAATTTTTGTCATTCCGCCGATCATGAGGTACTTATTAATAGTATAAAAGGTGTTTTCGCAGTCTTTGACGGCTAGAATCTTCCAATAAATTATCTAGAATCTGCAAGTTCGAAAATTTTGCCCTTTTTTCGGCATTTTTCATGCAATTTTTACCAAAAACAGCATTTTTCAAAATTTTAGGTTTTTTATGAGTTTTTTTATATCTAAAAACTGTATAAAATTCTACAAAAATGGTTTATACAGTAGCTTTAGGGCCGCATGGGATTACTCGGAAAACTTTAGTTTCCCCCCGTTAATAGTCTAGTACAGCAGTTTTTGAAAGCAGGTAGATGTTGAGATTTTGAAGCTCTATCCAACCAGCTCTATCACATCGCAAAAAAATTCAAATTCCTTAAAACGAGGCTTTACAAGCTACAAACCTCAGTGGGAATCGGTCCGGGTGCGATGACGTTGAAGCGCCAGCCATTCCGTGGCCAGCGAACGCGTCATATTCTCGACGCCCGCCTTCGAAATGGCCGACGGCACTGTGAACGGGCCACCGTTTCTGAAAACGGGGAAAATTAGAGCAAATTTCGGCTGGAAAACGAAGGTTCTTTTCGATTATCGGGGGCAAGCCAGAAATGTCAAATAACGCAATAAGAAGTATTTGATAGTGTTTTAGTAAAATATAACTATTTTTCAGCTAGAAAAACGACCTAAACACTTTTAAAGCATTTTGAAATAGAAATTTTGGCCAAATTTGGTCATTTTTTGTCGAAAAATGGATATTTTTGGTACTTTATTAACGCGCTGTCAAGCTTAGTTTACGTTTGGGAACAGTAAGGAAAAGTTGACCTAAAAACGCACCTGGCATAGGGGGTAGAAATGGAGAGCACGGTGCAGCCGTGGCCCTTCTGAATGGCACGCTTGCCCAGCTCGAGCGTCAGATTCATCGTGCCCAACACAACGATGTCGATCACCGCCTGAAAATCGGGGGATTTGGATGAAAAAATTGAGCTTTTGGCGATCGTCTGTTTCAAAAACTCGGTTCTTGCGCAATATCGGGGGGGGGAGGGCTTTTCTACAAGTCGAGATCTGCCTAGTAATCGTATATAAACCATTTTAATCGTAGTTTTGGTCCAATTTAGCTATTTTCAAGTGAGAAAACATTACAAAATTTAGAAAAATGTCAGAAAATTTGAATGGTCAGATTTTTATGGGGTTTGGAATTGCAAAAAAAAAAAGATGTAGCAGTTTCTCCGTTGAATGTGAACAGTTGGATCCTAAAATTAAAGTAGCTGCCCCTCTTACTGCAAAAGATCCAAAATCTCCGCTAAAGCTACCTTGACAGCATTTGGCGACAGTCTCTCCGTGGCCATGATGAAATTCCCGGCGGCGTTGTTCACGAGGATATTCGGCAGCTGACCGAATCTAAAGCGAAAAATACAGCAAAACAAAGCAATTCGCACTTCTTTTCGATGTCATCAATGGTCTGGGTGATCTGTTCGGGTTTCTTGACATCCATCTGGAAAACCACGACTTGACCGCCCGTCTTCTGCCGGATATCAGCCGCCGCTGCTTGCAGCACTTCGACACTTCTGAAAAAGCCATTAAAAATTCACTATCTTTCGGTTTTTAATTCGAAAAACCCTGAAATTTCGTTTGACACTATTTCTGCGTTCTAGCGCCCACAGAAAAGGAGAAAAATGTTGAAAACATTCGATTCTTGCTACGAATTTTTCTAGTACAAATTCAATAAGGGTTTTAAGCTGTTTTATATATTTTCCAAGTAAAACCTTACAAATATCTTTTCAAAATTAGCGCTAAAAAGTGATTTTTCGCCCAAAATTTCCAATTTAAAAATGTCTAAAGTATTTTTAATAGTTTTTGCACTTGGGAAATCTCGTGAAATTTTCCAAAAAGACTATCAAAGGTTGTCAACGATTTCTAGACTCTTAGAAAACCACCCCCCGCTAATCAACAAGAACAGGGTTCGATGGACTGGGAGAAAAACCCAGGCCTAAAAACAATCTTGGAGGTTGTCTAACAAAGTTCTAAAGAGGTTTTAAGGGTATCATTGGACGCGGGAGATCGAGATGCATCGATTGAGGTGGTTTACAGCCTGATCCGATACCTATCCGGAAAACCGCAACCGAAAAACAGCTTTTTGCTAAGATTTACATAAATTGAGGCCTGGAGGTTGTCTAACAAAGTTCTAAGAGGTTTTTATGGGCATCATCTGACGCGGAAAAGTGAGACGCCTCGAATGGTGTAGCTTAAAACCTGATCCGAGCTATTCCGGAAAAATACCTCCATAAAACCGTTTTTTTTGGTAAGATTTGCACAAATTGGGGCTTGGAGGTTGTCTAGAAACGTTCTAAGGGGTTTTTATGCATATCAATCGAACCGGAAGAGCGAGGTCCATCGAATGGTGTAGCTAAGACCTGATCCGCCGCCTCCTAGTGGCGAACTATAGGCAAAAGTCTCGCCCCGTCCCAATCAAATCGAACCCTGAACAAGAACCATTTATTCAAAAGGTCCAAAAACGATCGCCCTCACCTGGCGGCGATGGCAACGCGGGCGCCGAGGGCGGCAAAAGTGGTGGCGATGGCCTTGCCGAGTCCCGTTCCACCTCCAGTCACCAGGGCCAACTAAAAATAACGGGAATATTGTTACTGAAGTAACAAGATACCTTGTGCTTCATACATCCCTTCGGCAGGGCCAATTGGTTGACGATTGGAAAGTGGAGGGTCGGCTTCTCACAGGCCATTTTCGTGGTTTTGGTTAGTAAAACCTGAAAATGCGCTCATCAAAATGATAAAAGGCGAAAACGCTACAAATTGTCATCCAAAAATCCAAAAAAATTGGGTTTTCGGGCCAAAAAACGTTATCGTTGAAATTTTGGTCGAAAATCCAGCTTTTTTTGTATTTTTTTGAATAAAAATGTAAGGTTAGGAATTGTAAAAAAGCTTAGAATTATTGCTAACAGAACAATTGGATCCTTAGAAAAAAATTGGCCGCCCGATCAGACGCAAGCACCGATTTTTGTAAGGTTCTTACGTTTAGGAATAAAAATACAAAATTCAGATGAACCGGCAATTAAAAAAGGTATCTTTTGGGATTGGAGATTCGATCAGACTACAATGCAGCTGTTCTTATAGCCATCACTACCCACTCACGGAGTTTGCACCCCCGCCCCGTTATCAAATGATGGGATAGCAGAGAGGATACACCAATCGCACAACAACAATCTATAACAACTACAACACCACAAAAACCCCTTCAAAATTCAATTATACACCAACGGATTTATGAGAAAATGGTGCTATGGCGTTATCGGGGGGGGGGGGGCATTTTTTTGAGGCTTCAATTCTTCTAGTATAAATAGCAGTGTTTTGAAGCTCTATTTTGCTATTCCTAACCGCAAAAATATTCAAAATTTTGCTTATAAGGAGACGTTTTTTGGTGTGAATGGAGTTCTGTGTGGAAACCAGGCCTATTTTGTGCAGAATTTTGCGCTGATTCCGAATATGTTTTCCATTTCTGCTAAATAGCTCGATTTCAAAAGTTATAGGAATTTTAAGATCATTTTAGCTTAAATTTTCCCCTCTTTAGGGACCATTATATTGCTTTTCCCGGCTGTTTTTCCAAAAATAAATATCGTCACCGTATTCAGAAAAATTTTCTCTATCGAATGAGCTATTTAACTCAAAATTGTTGAAAATCGAAAAAATCGACGATACTTGGTATGGGCTGCGATTTTTGTATGGGAAATGGTGAAAAACAGCCTATTTCTCACCCCTGTAAGCCATCGTCGATCGGCAGTAGCGCACTAATCAAATCTACCATTCGAATCAGAAAAAAATTCTCTACAAGATAGGCTACTTAAACAAAATTAAAACGTTATAACAAAAAAGTAGCACAGCATAGCATATGGCTACTCTGGGCCTAAAAATTGTCTTAAAATAGCTGTAACTTTTTAAATCGAGCTATTTAGCAAAATTGGAAAACAGCATCGGAATCAGCGCAAAATTCTGCACAGAATAGGCCTGGTTTCAACTTAAAACTCCATTCACACTAAAAACGTCTCCTTGTTAGAAAACACAAAACTCAGAGTTTTCGACAAAAAATGGTCGATTTTCGAGTTCGATTTTCCCGGTTTTCGACGTTTATATAGGCTTTTTGATTGTTTTTCTGCTTAAAATATCGTTAAATTTTAGTGAGAAACTATGAAAATATTTATCCTGATGACTAGACATTTCGGAAACTAATTATAAGAACCCCCGCCCCCCGATAATAGACAAGAAACGTAGAAAGGTATAGCAACCAGATATAGCTTCGTCGGATTTTTATTAAAATGCCTGCCGTCAGCAAATAAACAAAATGGAGAAACCACAAATAGCACGAGCCTTTCGCCTCAAAAATTCACTTTAAAACAAGCCAATTTTATTAAAAAATTTATCGAAAATGACCCGCGTGTAATAAATGGAGTGTATTGTGTGTGCGTGCGCGCAAAACGGCAAAATATTCAGCCTGAACAAAACGGCCGAAATTTGTGTTACAAAAATGAGATGCAATTCGTGGGGGAGAGAGAGATAAAGAGAGGGGGAAGAACATTAGAAAAACGGGGGGCAAACGAGCAGTGTCCATTCAATCGTCTAGAAATCGTTGGAAGAATCGTAGACTCGATAGGTGGGCAGAAATCCGCGTCCCTTGTGGGAATGGCTGGAGGTGGCCACGCAACACTTCAACCATGGCTTGAAACGGGCAGACTGAACAAAGGGGAATATTCCCGGTTCTTTGGCATTATCGGGGGGAGCAGCGAATTATTCTAACCTCAGAAGCCTATTCATTGTTTTAATCGTTTTTTAGCAAAATTTAACAATATTCTAAACGCCTAATAAAAAGTTTTAAATTCGAAAATTGCTCAAAAAATCTATATTTTTTTGTATTTTCTTCATTAAAATTTTGGAAAATTGGACGTTTAGGAATACTAAAAACAGTTTAGAAATATTTGCTTTATTTTTGTTAAAAAATTGGTTCCTTACAAAAATGCCCCCCCCCCCGATAACGCGAAAGAACCGAATTCCCATTCCGAAATAATCACTGCCAGATTGCCAGGGCCAAGCCAGAAAAACGAACCATTTTCGGGTCAGCAACGTAGGGGCGATTGGACGAGCCATTATTCCACGCATCCCAGCCACGCGCTTGGTACGAGTCCCTAAAAAAATGGTTGAAAATCGGGCGCTTTTGCAGTGTCGGGGGGAGGGGGATTTCGCCCATCAGCCCAAATTTTTACTGATTTTTCTAAGCGCAAAAATTAAAGGTTCTGGGGCATTATCGAGGGGGGGGGGGGATTTTCTCAAAGATTCCTGTTTTCTAATTTAAATAGAGGATGTGTTGTAAACTTTTTGGCTATTCCGAACAGTAGAAAAATTACAGAAAATATAGATTTTTCGACAAAAGTGCGGAATCCCCTCCGATAATACGAAAAAATCAAATTAGGTACCCCCGATATTGCAAAAGAACCGAAACGCTATAAAAATCAATAAAGCTAATAATATACCTGGACCCGGTGTCGTAGGATCGATAGCGCGATCCGTAGTGTCGCTTCTGGATGCTGGAAAAGCGGATGTTTCCACAGTAAATGCCAAAATGCTCACGAGTAGGGGGGCGAAGCGGCGCGCCGTCGACGAATAGGTGACACGGCTCGAGATCGGGGTGCGACGCTGCAAAGCAAAAAAAAATTAAACATTTTCAAAAATATCCTCACCGATCCGCTGCGGGTCAGCGAGGAAGCGCCTTGCACGCGAGAGGCTGAAAAACGGAGTTAACTTAATTTTAAGAGTCGGAAAATTTGCTAATCGGTTTCTAGGCTATTTAGATCGGTACTGGACTCTTAGCGGGGGGGGGGGAATTTCTCGCGGGGGCGAAACCACATTTCCCAAATAATCCCGTACGATTCCATAACAAATGCAACACATTTTTATATCATTTTCGACCGTTTTTAGATATGAAAAGCTATCAAAGTTTGCAAAAAAAATCGAAAAACTGACTTTTTGTTAAAAAAATGTATAAGAAATTATCAAAAAAGCTCAAATTTTCATTTTTAGAAATCAAAACCCGCTATTATCGAAGGGCCGAAAAACACCACCCCCCGCTAAAAGACAAGTGCCTCCAAGACCAATAAAAAAAAGATACCGCGAGCCCTGTGGATGCGGTGATTGCGGATGTAGGAGCTGCTTCGAATCGGCCGGCTCGGCACGTAGCGATTGCGCTCGTAGCGAGGCGAGAGGCCCTAGAAAATCAGAAATTCCAAATAAAACAGAATCCTGACCACGTCATCGCCATCAGAACCGCCGTCATCGTCATGTTGATCATCTTCCGATCCGTATTCTTCCACCTCCCATCCGTCCTCATCGAAATCCTCGTCCTCCTCTTCGATCATCTCGCACTCATCGCCCGACACGTACAGCGTATCGTTTCTGAAATGGGAATAAATCAGGTCAGGCTCAAAATGGACAGAAAGATAGAGTTCATGATGCTCAAAATTTCTCTACTTCTAAAAATTTACTACGAGTTTTTAAAACTCGATAAATTTCGGCAAAAAATGGCAAAAACGACGAAAACTGTGAAACAAGAAGCTGTTAAAATCTCACGCTAAAAAACCATTATAGCAAATTTTCAAACCAGGAAAATGAGCTACATTTTCTGCTTCACATTTCAGTCAATTTTGAGTCGGATCTGCGTAAAAGTCATTCGTTTCCTTTCGCTTTTCGCGGTCACGGCCAGAGCATGGGCGCTTCTAAACTCACAAAAATAAGACGTAAAATCACAATATCGCGAACCCTGCTGTCCATCTGCAGCGCTGCAAAGCGATCGCTGAGTGTACGGGTGCTGGAGCATGAATTCTAAACAAATACTAAAAGAAAATCTGGATAAAACACACCCTTTCCAGTCTAATCTGCTGAAAATCGTCCTTCTCTTCAACGATGTCGACTTCTCCTTCTTCCTCCTCCTCTTCCGCCTCCTCAGCCCTGTCTGCGAACAGCGGTTATTCGACGTATTCGGGCACTGACAGCTTCCTGGCTGCTCGACGCGGGCCGTTCAGGACATAGCTGAACAAGGGAATCATTTTACTATTGGAAATTCCACTTACACGGCCGCATCGTGCACATCTACTTGCATTTCCTCGGGCGCCGGGTTGTTGAAGAGCACTTTTCTGGTTGACATGCTGAAAAATAGGGATATCAGAACGGCAAATAACCATAAATGCAGAGAAAGCGCAGTTTCACGGGAAAACAACGAAATTCCCGGTACTATTCAAGTTAGGGGGGGGGGGCAAAATTTTTTCGAGGTGATTTTTGGGCTACTTGTTCAGTTTTTCGCGGCCAATCAAGCGCATTGCTCTACTTCTAAGCTAAGCTAAGCCGAAGTTCAGCTAAATCGAGCTTGAACAGAGCTAAACCGAAGCCAAAAACAGCGAAGCTGAGAAAAACTAAGCTAAGGCGAGAGTACTTCGCCCCGCCCAGAAGCTAAGCCAAGCCTAAGCCTAGGCTAAGCTAAGCCTGAGCCTAAACTAAACCAGTACTAAGCTAAGCTACGCCTAAGCGAAAACTAAGAAGAATGTCTGCAAATGACCCCAAAAAATTTTGCCCCCCCGAACTTGAATAGTACCAAATTGCCTCAGAAAACGGCATTAGAAAAACGCGAATCGGTTAGAAAAAGCAAAACGGCAACAGCCAGACTCGTTTTCAACGCTAGTTCTTCGAAGAAACGCTGATTGATGACCTGACAAAGATATTCTTTGGTTGAAATACCGTAACATAGGATAATTAAACCTAATACAGATTTATAAAGACCAAAAAAAGAGTAGTTTCTCTTGAAAATAACGAAATTACTGCGAAACCGTGGGAAAACGCGGTCGCCGAAATCTACAGCGTGAATGCGTTAAAAACAGCCAGCTCGGCAAAATCTAGTATCGTTTTCAATAAGTTTAATATGCTTTAAACTTTTTAACAACAAATTCTAACTTTAGGTTCTTCTACGGTAACGCTAGCCAAAAAAGCGAAAGCTGTCCTCAGAGAATCCAGGCAAAAAAAAAACACAAAAAAATCTCATGATGCGATCTACGAAATTTGTCGCGCTTTGTCGAAAGGGATTGCCGGTCACTGCCCGTGCCAATCATGAACAAAAGCACGATTCTGCCAAAAATTGCGTAAAATAATTAATTTTACTACGGTTCTAATATCCTAAAGTAATTACACTATATTAATACATACTTCAACTCCAGTTTTATCTTTTTACAAAGTTTACTTGGTAAATAAGACCTAAAACTATCTAAACCACGGGCGTGTTTTTTTTTAGCCCTCAAACACAACGAGTCACCAACGGGCAACACCTGTTTACACTTCGTAATCGATTTCCCAAACCCAATTAATTGTAACTAAAAAACTTCTAAGGGTTATTTTTTATTATAATAAACGAAAAACATAGTTCTAGAACTGATTTGGTAATGATACTTTCGCTACTGACGTGAAATTTCTATCATTTTGCGTGATTCGACCACCTTCACCAATTTTACGGATAGCAAAAAGGAACGAGGGAGGAGGCAACAAAAGGAACGAATATTAATATCTGTTCTAATGCGAAAAAGCTTCTTATATAGTCACCAAGAGGTTCTATTTAATTTTTGCTAGTATTTACGGTTGGTAAACCCTCGTACATCCAATGCTCGCGAATCTTTTGCGAATTACCCAAATACCTCATTATAAAGGATAGATAGGAAAATATATAGAAGAGTCTGGATATGTCGAACTGAAGGAGCAACGGTAGCCGAAGAAACAAAATCAGACAACCACTTTACAATGGCCCTATCATTAACAGTGTTTTGCGCATGCTCGAGTGCCACATCATTTTTAAACTCCCGACGACGCTCGGCTTTTTGCAGAGCATCAATCAGCAAAGTGCATAGCTTCCATAAGATTTACTTAAAACATCTGGCGGCTCTCTTTTGAAAATCCTTCATCATGATTATACGATCCTTATTCGTTACTCATGAGCAACGGATCAGCAAAATTGTCTTTGCGCCGGAAACCCGCAAAATATACTCGTTTGACGTCAGTATCTTTCTAGAACTTGCTTCTTTCGTTTCTACTATCTTAATAACTCTAACTTAGATTCTCTAAGTTTTTAGTTACAATTAATTGGGTTTGGGAAATCGATTACGGAGTGTAAACAGGTGTTGCCCGTTGGTGACTCGTTGTGTTTGAGGGCTAAAAACACGCCCGTATCTAAACCGGAAAATTCAAAATCTTCCCCCCAGCCCATTCCACAACAATCCATGCGCGTCATCATGCATTGGCCCGTAGTTGGATACTGTATAAATGGCACAATTCATTTCATCACCACAAGTCCCTCCTATCCAAAAAAAAAAGAAAATATACAAAAAACGCGCGACAACGATGAAGAAAAGAAGGAAATGTCGGCAAGTAACTCGAATCACGGACAATTCATCTATGATATACACAAAGGGATATAAATAAGGGAAGAGAGGGGAAAGGCACGCAAATACACAAGGCGAAAGGTGGGGAAAGCGGGGAGAACACAAGCTTAATGTTGTTGAACATTCGCATCTGTAGCTCATTCATGGAGCCGCCGCGGCCGGTGAGCTGCCGGACAATGATGGCCGTGCAGGCATGACAGTCGCTTGGCTCTGGAATTCTGAGCTCTGAAGGCCAGGAAAAATAACTTACGAGTATGCGTGAGTCGCAAGAGACCATGGGTTTTGAAATCGACGCACTCGCCAGGTGGTTGCTTCCGGCTGCGAAAAAGTATGATCCGAGGAATTAGGGAACACCTGATTTGGTTGCGGTGGACGGCGCAGAGTTGAATGCCGTGAAAAGGGCGCAGCGTTTTGGTGCTCCTGACGCATACTCCGCATACATAGCCGCTGAACAGCAACGCGATGAGGGTGTTGTTGTTGATCACGTCAATCAGGGGCTGCTGCGGGTCATCCTAAACAGATGTGTTATTACGGCCTGCCCACTCTCAATTCCCTGGTGATCTAGGCTAGTCTACAGGGTTTGATCTACTCGAAAACCTCACAGGCATAAACTCGTCCGTAGCCTCGCTGATCGTAGAAGTGGTCTCCTGATAATCCAAGATTATTCCTGAGACCAAGAAGATTGCGATTATTCCTAGGTGATCTCTGCTATCCTGCCCCTCTCTCAATTCCCTAGTGATCTCTGCTAGCCTGCCCCTCTCTCAATTCCCTAGTGATCTCTGCTAGCCTGCCCCTCTCTCAATTCCCTAGTGATCTGTGCTAGCCTGCCCCTCTCTCAATTCCCTAGTGATCTGTGCTAGCCTGCCCCTCTCTCAATTCCCTAGTGATTTGTGCTAGCCTGCCCCTCTCTCAATTCCCTAGTGATTTGTGCTAGCCTGCCCCTCTCTCAATTCCCTAGTGATTTGTGCTAGCCTGCCCCTCTCTCAATTCCCTAGTGATTTGTGCTAGCCTGCCCCTCTCTCAATTCCCTAGTGATTTGTGCTAGCCTGCCCCTCTCTCAATTCCCTAGTGATTTGTGCTAGCCTGCCCCTCTCTCAATTCCCTAGTGATTTGTGCTAGCCTGCCCCTCTCTCAATTCCGGTTATCAAACTACCTGGAAGCGGCCGATAGTCAGATAGCGAGGGGCATTGCGGCGAGTGATATTGGAGTTGCTGACCTCGGCGCAGCCGCCAATTGAAATGATGATGTCACGCTCCTGAAATTACACAAATAAAGGGTGTCCTAAAAACTTAAAACGTCAGATTTTGTGGAAATTTCTGTCGGCATGAGCACAATTGGAGCATTATGATACGTCAAGCATCCATCCGAAGCGACTAGGCTCCCGGTGGCTCGAGCCCTTATTTCTAGGCTCAGACTGGGTGTAAGAAAGCCGTTTAACTTAAAAGGCGAATCGAGCCCAAATCTGTGCAAATCCGCGAAAATAGCGTATCTTTGGGTATTGGCGGAATCAGGGTCCTAAAAATCGTATGGGTTTTAAGGACCCCTGTCAGGACAAGGCCCTTAACATAAAAATTCTAAGGACCCTTCTTTTTATCAAGGATCCTGATTTTTAAGGACCCGGTATAGAACCAAAATCGGACCCGACTGCCGACCGGTAGGGCAGAGAGGGGTTGGGATATCCTGTATTGTTTTTTTTGAATAACTGTAACCACCAACCGACAACGTATGATATGGGGACGGCTCTGCCCATACGATTATGCCCTCGTCATCCAGGAGGCAAGGGCTGGCAACACCGGCGGGGATGAATGTAGTAAAAACCGCGTGGCCAGTGGATCGGAGCTTGGCCTATAAGCAACGGGAATTTTTTTATCTTGGGCCAAATACCGGCTACGGTGGAAAGGTACGACTTTTTTGGAACACCCGGTACCGGGTGGACCAAAAAAAAAGCGATTATCTCGATTATCCAATTATCTCGAGAACCGTAATCATCGTAATTCATGGTGATTCATAGTAGCACACCCACCATCAGCGCCAGTTGCTGACTGGAGTGTTGCGTCCAGCGCAACTTCTGCTCGTCGTCTCCACGGTTCTCCTGAAATCATTTAGTTGATCTTTAACCGGAAAGGTTCCGAAGTGAAGGTTGAGCACTGACAAGTAGACGTTTCCGAGTGTCATCCGAACTTTCGGATGGGATCAAGCCTATTTTGTGCAGAGTTTAGTGCTAATTCCGAATATAGCCGCCGATTCTGCCTAAGCGTTATGAATTTCTTTCTCAAAAGTCAGGAACCGTTTAATCCCAAAAAAAGCCACAAATCAGCTATTTTCGATGCACATAAACGGCTTCGGCATAGGTTTTTTAGAAATAAATAGCTAGCGCAGGATGTTTAGAAAAAATGTTATTTTTATTATTACATGTACCATTAGTATAATAATTAAATCAGATTAGAAGGAATTTTAACCTGATTTCGGAAGCGCTTCAGCCACTGCTTCACGTCATCCCACCACGACTGAAAAAGCGGTTTTCTAAAGGCGAGGCAAGACAATGTTATATGAGACTGGACGCTGGTGCAGTGCTGGCCAAAATTCCACCATATTTTGGTTTTTAGGCTATAGCTTCGCGGGGCTCGGGTGGTTCTTCCTGAAATTTACACACAATGTTGGCTGAAGTGCAATATACTTGCTGTAGCGTTTTTATAATTTTTCGATTTAGCGTCGGCGCGTACGGTAACATTTTGCCGAGCAGATAATAGGTTCCAAAAATTAACTTTGTTTAAGGTGTTTTCAGATATCGAAAACATGTCCAGCGTGCTCAGCAGGATCGAAAACCCTTACCTGCAGCGACTTCGTAAAATTTGGGAGCCGGGAAGGGCCCTTTTGGGTGCATGGAAGATGGGAGTTTGGCACCTTGGGGGCCCTGTCGGAGGAGGACATTTCTAGGGACCATGACAGTTGAGCAACGACGTTTGAGCAACTTTTGAAAAGAGTGCGGAGAGAGGCGAGAGTCAGACGGTCTGCCCGTCTGGGCTCTCTCCTCCCTCCGCACTCTTTTCAAAAGTTGCTCAAACGTCGTTGCCCATATCATATCCCCATTTTACCCCCGCGCGACCAACTTCCGGGGGCCGATTAGAGCCACTTCCCGGCTCCCAAATTTTACGAAATTCTACAGTAAAGGTTCCCGACCCTGCTAAACACGCTGGACGTATTTTCGAAATCGGAAAATTCCTTAAACAAAGTTAATTATGGATCCCTATTATCTGCTCGACAATGCGTTCTACGCCATTCTAAATCGAAAGTGCAAAAACGCTCAGCAGTATATTGCACTTCAGCCAACATTGTGTTAATTCGGGAAGAACTACCCCAGCCCGCAAGCTATAGCTAAAACAAAATATGATGGGATTTGGCCAGTACTGTATGCAACTTGCATCACTTTTCCATTAGGAATTCCGGTTCTTTCGCATTATCGGTCGGGTAAGGAGTGCTTTTTTGAGCCATACGCAAATCATTTCGAAAGATAGTGTAGTCGATCGAGAATTTCGTTCTGGGTAACGCGATGAGGTTTAAGCTATAAAAGTTCAAAGCAAAAGAAATCACACGTGGAAGAACCGAACCTCCCAAAGAAGTGCAAAAAAAAAGTCTGAAAGGCAACCGCGCTACCAATTGCGCTATTGCTGATGGTGATTGGGGAAGTGCGGGCCGGGCCTTGCCCCGGGGGCTATCTCTACTTACCATCAGCGCGCGCCGAGCGACGCAGGAAAATACTAATTTAGTTTTTTTTTGTAATTTTATAAAATTCCGGACGGCCAGTCTGCAAAAATAAACCTCCTAGCGCCACACCGGATGAAATTCTCTATCGAATGCAATTCGAAATTATTGCGTATGACTCAAAAAAGCACTCCTTATGAGCACACGAAATCCTTCACTTGCATAACTCGCCCGAATTTCGATGAGAAATCATGAAAGAAGCTCCCCCGACTTTCCATGTATGCTAATTGTTTTTTAGCAACGAAGGTGTCGATTTTTACCACAAAATTTAAATTTACAAACACAAATTCATTTTAAAAAAATAATGCCTCAAACTGGACGCAGAAGTATTCGATCGGAACCATAGTTACACGATTCGTAAGCACGTGAAACGGCTTATTTGCATGAACCCTTATCACACTTTTTTTATTCTACATTTTTTACACCTTAAGCGATTTTACAACGAATTTGAACCTTTTGGAACGGACTTTGCCTCAAATTAACGGCTACTAGCATTTTATTTGGGAAGCTTGAGGCAAATAGCTCGTATGCAACCCCGACAAAACCGAATCGCTTGTAAAAGAGCAAATTTAAATCAAAACAGGCTTCTCAGATTGTGGCAAACTGGTCGTTTCAAGGGCTATCGATTTGTGTAACTAGCATTTCGATCCGACACTTCTGCGTCGCGTTAGGGCGGGGAGCAGAAGGGTGTTCTTTTTTATCGGGACGCCCTGCGAACTGTCGTTTTCTGCAATTTTTGACTACCCAGTTAGTTAGGGATTAATTAGCCTACCCCGAAAGTCTCGATAAATTATATAAGGCATAAACGCGCAGCTTTTCTTGCCATTTTGCCGCCAATGTTCGTGGAAACCTATGGAAAGGGCCGACGATCACCAAGCGAAGACCCAAAGCACCCCCGAAGCGGCCTTCCAGAAAAGTTATGACCCGTGAAAACAGAATATTTCAATAATTCTATCCGGAGGTTGCTCAAAACCACGCCTCATTCATCCGCAAGGCTACCTGTCTGGGCGGAGCCGGCAGCGCATTGAAGATGACGCGCTCATCCGCTGAGCAGTAGCTGCCTTGAAGTGGCGACGGGGGGGAAGCAGCCTGTAAGGTTGCACATACCTCGACAACATTACCGGTGCCTACGATTATTCCTTTTTGTTCTCTGCTTACCTTTTCAAATTCTCTAATGATCTCTGCTAGCCAACCTTCTCAAATTCTCTAATGATCTCTGCTAGTCTGCTCTAGTCAATTCATCCTACAAACTTCACCTCTCCGTGGGCAGTGTTCATCATCGGGGTACCGCAGACCGCCGTCGTGGTAGACGTGGTCGAAGCCGTGGTCGGAGACGAGGCAGTCGGCGTCACCGCGGGCGGCACCTGCTGTAAACCAGAGGTTATTGCTTTCCATTAATCGGCATATTTATTGATTATTCTCAAATTCTCTAATGATCTCTGCTAGCCTCCCCTTCTCAAATTCTCTAATGATCTCTGCTAGCCTCCCCTTCTCAAATTCTCTAATGATCTCTGCTAGCCTCCCCTTCTCAAATTCTCTAATGATCTCTGCTAGCCTCCCCTTCTCAAATTCTCTAATGATCTCTGCTAGCCTCCCTTCTCAAATTCTCTAATGATCTCTGCTAGCCTCCCCTTCTCAAATTCTCTAATGATCTCTGCTAGCCTCCCCTTCTCAAATTCTTTAATGATCTCTGCTAGTCTGCTCTATTCAATGCATCCTACAAACTTCACCTCTCCGTAGCAAGTGTCCTTCATCGGCGTGCCGCAGACCGCCGTGGTGGTAGACGCGATCGTAGCACTGGTAGTAGGCGAGGCAATCGGCGTCACCGCGGACGAGACCTGCTGTAAACCAGAGGTTATTGCTTTCCATTAATCGGCATATTTATTGCTTATTCTCAAATTCTCTAATGATCTCTTGCTAGCCTCCTTCTCAAATTCTCTAATGATCTCTGCTAGCCTCCCCTTCTCAAATTCTCTAATGATCTCTGCTAGCCTCCCCTTCTCAAATTCTCTAATGATCTCTGCTAGCCTCCCCTTCTCCAAATTCTCTAATGATCTCTGCTAGCCTCCCCTTCTCAAATTCTCTAATGATCTCTGCTAGCCTCCCCTTCTCAAATTCTCTAATGATCTCTGCTAGCCTCCCCTTCTCAAATTCTCTAATGATCTCTGCTAGCCTCCCCTTCTCAAATTCTCTAATGATCTCTGCTAGCCTCCCCTTCTCAAATTCTCTAATGATCTCTGCTAGCCTCCCCTTCTCAAATTCTCTAATGATCTCTGCTAGCCTCCCCTTCTCAAATTCTCTAATGATCTCTGCTAGCCTCCCTTCTCAAATTCTCTAATGATCTCTGCTGCCTCCCTTTCAAATTCCCTAATGATCTCTGCTAGCCTCCCTTCTCAAATTCTCTAATGATCTCTGCTAGCCTCCCTTCTCAAATTCTCTCAATGATCTCTGCTAGCCTCCCTTCTCAAATTCTCTAATGATCTCTGCTAGCCTCCCCTTCTCAAATTCTCTAATGATCTCTGCTAGCCTCCCCTTCTCAAATTCTCTAATGATCTCTGCTAGCCTCCCCTTCTCAAATTCTCTAATGATCTCTGCTAGCCTCCCCTTCTCAAATTCTTTAATGATCTCTGCTAGTCTGCTCTATTCAATGCATCCTACAAACTTCACCTCTCCGTAGCAAGTGTCCTTCATCGGCGTGCCGCAGACCGCCGTGGTGGTAGACGCGATCGTAGCAGTGGTAGTAGGCGAGGCAATCGGCGTCACCGCGGACGAGACCTGCTGTAAACCAGAGGTTATTGCTTTCCATTAATCGGCATATTTATTGATTATTCTCAAATTCTCTAATGATCTCTGCTAGCCTCCCTTCTCAAATTCTCCTAATGATCTCTGCTAGCCTCCCTTCTCAAATTCTCTAATGATCTCTGCTAGCCTCCCCTTCTCAAATTCTCTAATGATCTCTGCTAGCCTCCCCTTCTCAAATTCTTTAATGATCTCTGCTAGTCTGCTCTATTCCTAATGCATCTCTACTAAACTTCACCTCTCCGTAGCGAGTGTCCTTCATCGGCGTGCCGCAGACCGCCGTGGTGGTGAGACGCGATCGTAGCAGTGGTAGTAGGCGAGGCAATCGGCGTACCGCGGACGAGACCTGCTGTAAACCAGAGGTTATTGCTTTCCATTAATCGGCATATTTATTGCTTATTCTCAAATTCTCTAATGATCTCTGCTAGCCTCCCCTTCTCAAATTCTTTAATGATCTCTGCTAGTCTGCTCTATTCAATGCATCCTACAAACTTCACCTCTCCGTAGCAAGTGTCCTTCATCGGCGTGCCGCAGACCGCCGTGGTGGTAGACGCGATCGTAGCAGTGGTAGTAGGCGAGGCAATCGGCGTCACCGCGGACGAGACCTGCTGTAAACCAGAGGTTATTGCTTTCCATTAATCGGCATATTTATTGCTTATTCTCAAATTCTCTAATGATCTCTGCTAGCCTCCCTTCTCAAATTCTTTAATGATCTCTGCTAGTCTGCTCTATTCAATGCATCCCTACAAACTTCCCCTCTCCGTAGCAAGTGTCCTTCATCGGCGTGCCGCAGACCGCCGTGGTGGTAGACGCGATCGTAGCAGTGGTAGTAGGCGGGCAATCGGCGTCACCGCGGACGAGACCTGCTGTAAACCAGAGGTTATTGCTTTCCATTAATCGGCATATTTATTGATTATTCTCAAATTCTCTAATGATCTCTGCTAGC